TTTTTTTTTCTCTTTTTTTTTAGTGGATCATATATTTTTTGTGTATTATGAAATAAGGCTTTAATATTGTTACAGTAAATGTAAATAAGTTATCTACATTCATTCCTAAAATAATTTTATTTTATATTAAAAAATTAAAAAATTATAATAAGAAATACTATTATATCCCCTAAATAAATTATAATAATAAAAATACTTTGATTTCTGTCTTAAAATGACATCATTTTTAATTTAATATAAATAATTTATCTATATTAATTCCAGAAAAAAACGAATCTATGAAATAATTTATCTCAATAAACATGAGAAAAACCAAAACGTATATATTAGAATAAAAGAGGTGAAAATTAAACGCAAAAGTGATTTAAAACTATATTTTCAAGGGCCCAACAATTGGACAAGACATCTCATATAGGTGGCAGTGAGGGTGCTGACGGAGCAGCGATCGAAGTGTTTTTTTTTACAAAATTTTTATCCAAATATCATATGAATAGTATTTTTTATCAGACTGTCATGTGGCATAATTTGCTACGACTGGTAGCGAATTATGTTCGTCAGTGATTTTGTGACACGTGACTATATTGTAGATTAAATTTGTGATCACTGGTAATGAATTATGACACGTCAGCTTTTTTTCTGTGAAAATATATCACGTATTACAAAATCATTAACGAACGTAATTCGTTATCGGTCATAACAAATTATCAGTGGTAGTTTAGTAAAAAAATTATTCGTATGACATTTAGATAAATATTTTGATAAAAAGAGATATTTTGGTGAGTGTTCCGGGTGCTGACCATTCCATATGAGAATCTTTATAGTCTATTTTGTCTTTTATCTTTTAATGTTCATTTATATCTTGTACTATACATGTCAGCTTCTCCAATCATTCCATCACTCTATGATCCATATTTCGATGGATGTTTTGCAGTAATAGAAAGGTCGTGCTTGAGGTATAGTGACTGTCAAACGATGGTGAAATAAAATTTTGGTAATTCCAGGAATGGTATTGATACAGTTTTTGTTACGCCATTTTGTACTGAATTATTATTTATTGAATCATTCAAAATTGGATTATTATTTTAGTGAATCATTCAAAAATTAACATTTTATTCTGAGAAAAATAATAAAACCCAACTTGGAAACCTTTTATCACTTTTTTTAAAAATAAAGCTTCTCGCTCACATATTTTAAAATAAAAAGATTATCCAAAATTCCAAATTAGGTGAAACACGAATCTATGGAATGAGTCAGTAACCTTCTATTTCACATAAACAAAAATGTTCAACCCGTACAAAAAAAAGGTCTAAGTTGGCGGGAATATAGCAAATGATAAAAAAAGCAAGATGGGTCCACCACTGAGCAACTTGGGACCCATATTTTAAAGGTGAAGGGAACTTTTCATAAAAGATAAAATCATTCCTCAAATTTAATTTAACATATTCAAACGGTTTATATTAATTTAATTATATAATTACTGGGTTTAAAGTTTATAAAGTAATTTTAAATACCTGTATTTAATATTTATTAAAATATACAAAATTCATGCGAAGAGAAAAGAGAGAAAAAATACGATCCCCACATATTTTTATATATATTTTAGTAAATATTAAATAAAGGGAAAAATATTTATCCTTTTAAAAAATTTAACTTTATATCATTTTAGATTCTAAACGTTGATTTTTGTCAATCAACTGTTAGGATTTATTGAATTTTATTGTGAATTATTAATTAATTAATAAATTTAACTTGATAAATTCTAACTGTTAATTTGACGAAAATTAATGGTTAGGATGTAAAATAACACAAAATTAAATCTTTTAAAAAGATAAATATTTTTTTCTTAAATAAGTTTATCTAAAGTAATTTTAAAAAATTTAAATTCATAATTATTTATAAATGATAAACCATAATTATTTATTAATTAATAATAATTAATTTAATATTTTATAAAGAGAAAAACGGTCCCACACCAGCATCTCACGTCATTACAGTGCCGGAACACAGAAATTTGATAAATGAAAAAGACAAGTTTTTTTGTTTAAAAAATAAAAATGAATTAAAAAAGAAGTAGCAATAATTATCCGAAAGATGGTGACGTTTTTAAGCGCATAGAAAATGGATCCAAAAGACAGCTAAGCCGGCCGAATGGGACATTATTGGAACTGAAAACGCGGGAAGATTTTAAAACCGGATCTCCATCTTTTCCCTTGCGATTCTAGCCGGTTACCTTGTTCAAACTGGAGCGCATCTTCGCGGACTTTTCCCAATAACAGCCACGACCTCTATTAAATTTGAGAATGAATTCTCTGTATATTAATTAAAATTATCACCGTTAATTTGATTATTAATGATTAAGGTTATCTATATAACAGTCACATCATGATTTGATTATTAATGATTAAAGTCATCTATATAACAGTCACATCATGAAATTTGAATTCTTAAAAAACACAATTTTTTTCCAAAAAATAAGAAGAAGAAAACAAATTTATACTCGTATATCATATTTTTCAATTTCATTCTTACATCATAAAATTTTATTTATTTATTTATTTTTAAGTAATTTATTATGTATTATTATGATATTATTAGTTGTAATTATAACTTAATAAAATATATGGATTGAATTGAAAAAAATATTACATCTAACGATCATAAAATTTATTTTTTGTAATTTTGTTTACATATACCATTTGGTTTTTTATATTTTATAATAATTTCATGTAAATTTGACTGTATTATAAAAGTAATGGACGACAAAAATGAGGTTGAAAAAATATAGGAAAAACTTCAAAAATTCTCTTACAAGTTTTCTCAAAATCACTTACACCCTCTCAAAATCACTCACACCCCTTCCCAATTTTTTTTAATTATTTATCCCCTACTTAAAATTTCTTTATCACTTACTTCATAATTTGATTTTCCATCCAAAATTTTGTTAACAGAGTTAAATTTGTTTAAAAATACAAAAATTACCCTTAATAGAAAAAAGAAAAACATAATTTCCTCACAAACGTAATTTTAGGCGAACTCATGGAATATTTTTTGTAAGGTAATCTTGTTAGAATTAGTAATTATTAAAATTGTTTCATGCAAACCCCATTGCTATTAAACACCACACTCAAAATTGTTGGTGTCGTTGTTCAAATAAAATGATTAAAGAGGCATCTTCTCAACAGGTTTAGATCTTCCCTTTTCTGTTATAGGCTTTTATGCTATTATATGACCAACAAATCTGACTTTATAAATTTATTCAGAGTAGCACTTTATTTTGTTTGCACAGCTACTGAAAAGCTTTATGTCTTGTGCTTCATATATGCCTTGTTTTCCCTTAATCATAAGATATTACCAAGCAAACATGTAGAATGTGTTATTTCGTTGTTTTCTGTGTCGATGAGAGTAGAGGGAGGATTCCATCGTTGATTTACATTCATCTCTTGCTTATGTGAGTTTGTCTAAAATTGCGTTTGTGAGAAAATTGTGTTTTTTCTTTTTCTATTAAGGTAATTTTGGCACCTTTTAAAAAATTTAACTCTGTTAACAAATTTTTGGATGAAAAATCAAATTAGGGGATAAGTGATAAATAAATTTTAGGTAGAGGGATAAATAATTAAAAATTTCAGAGAAGGGGTTAAGTGATTTTGAGGAAACTTATAGGAAAAATTTTAAAAATTTTCCAAAAATATATCACGTATAAGACGGAAAAAAAAACTTAAATAGTCTTTTATATGTAAATTAAATCATGTAGTGTCCGTAATTTAAGTTATAATTAAAATTTCTATCAGAAATTATATCTTACTTGTATTTAAAATTTATTTGTATTATTTTTACCATTTTTTTAATTTGTATTGTAAATTGCATTCAATTAACTATTATATTTCATTTAGAATTCACACCAACGTAGTTATTAAATTTTTAAAATATTATAGAACGAGATACATATATCTACATGAAAAGTTATTCAAAAATGAATAATGAGATTTTTTTTAATAATAAGTTATATTTTCATTTATTTTATTATTATTTTTTATATTTTTCATTCCCTTATATTTTGGTATAAATAAATTTTCCCGTATCTAATAAAAAATATCTTCCCGTAAAGTTTTAACCTCCTATAATGTTAAATATGAAAGTATTTAGATATTGTAGAGCATAAATATAATATCATGATTTTTTAATTATTTAAAATAAAAAACGTGTTTTGATATTAAAATTTTAACTTCCTATAATGCTTTTTTTAGTATTTTAGTACCATTCATTCCTAAATTTAACTTATATAAAAAAATATCCTGCATTTCTTTTTGGTATCCTATACATGCATTATTCTATGAAGTTTTAACCTCCTCATGTCTATTCTTTCTCCCTAAAAAGCAAGAGGGAGGTTGAAAACGTAGCATACGAGCCACGTTAAGAATGTGCCTATGTTTCCTCTCCTCTTGTCCATTTTGTTGTGATGTGTAGGTGTATGAGTTTTGGTTCAATATTTCTTGGTCATTATAAAACCAAAGCAGGTCCTTACGGTGGAACTCAATTCCATTGTTTGTGCATCCATCACTTTTACAAATTTGTCAAATTGGTTTTGAATCATAGTGCAAAAGTTATTTATTAACTAAGTTCTTAACTTTTTTTTTTCCATCAAATAAGTCTATAATAACCTGAATAATTAAATTGTAAGTGTGAATTAATGAGTAATTAATGGGTTAAATTAGATGAGAAGTCTAAATTTTAAATCAAGTCACTTTTTGTGGTAAAAGTGAAAATATTGAAAGTTTTGCGATGAATTTACAATTTGGCCAAATTTAGTAAGATCCTAAAAATTAATTAAATGCAGTACACCCAACCTAGACCTAAATAGCCCTAAGAAATTAAAAGTATAGTGGTCTAAGTCATGAAAAGCAAGAGAGGGAATCAAGAGGGGCAAAATAGTAATTTTCCTACTCAAGATATTTGTTTAAAACAAAAGTCAAGAACTTTCTCTCTTCACTCCATCGCCTCTCACTTTCCCTCCCTCTCCTCCTTCTTTCATTTTCATGACCTTCTTATTGCAAAGAGAACGAAACCACATTACTCCTTCTTCATGACTCACAAAGCCAAGTGGAATCATTACCCACTCCCTATCTTCCACTCACACTCACCTTTGAGACAATCATTAAGCTAGGAGGTGAGAAGATTTTATTCTTTCTTTGAACCATTTAGGAGTCATCGTGAAGCTTGAGAAAGGAAGGAGATTTTTCCACTGTTGGGAGCTTGAAGCTTCATATATTTGTGCTTTAAATATCAGAGGTGAGAATATATTGTCACTTTGATACTTGAGGGTTTTATGGTGTTTGGGTTTCATGAGAAATTTGGGGTTTTTTATTGTGAGATTATTAAGGTGAATTTGATGTTTAATTCTTATATATTGGTTGCAGGAATATTGACTCTAGTTATGATTTTGAGTTGGAACCACCATTGGAACCCATTTTGGGATAGGGTTCTAATCTTGATATTTCAAGAATTGGGGGGTAAGTAAAGCACACATTGTATTGATGTATTAGTATATTGGTTGATGAATTCATGTGTTGAACATGTTGTTGAATGGTTTAAATTACCTTGTAATAGTTTATTGTTAGTGAATTGTGTTTATTGACCATTGGAGCAAAAAAAAGCTTAGAATCAAGTATAGAAAAGGTGAATTTGTGGAACTTGGGATTAGTCCCACTTAATGTTCCACCATACCCTTTTTTGGGATAATCACCATTGGTTGAATGATTATGTGGATTGTTAAAGTATAGTGTAATGTGCATTCATATAGAAAGTCATTGTTTGTTGGTGTATGATCCAATGAACAAGCACTAGAGGTTAAATTGCATAGTTAGTGTACAAACTAACGTGCAATTGGATGTGTGATATGAAGTGCTTATGCGTATAGCCATGGAATTATGAGTTGATTAATTAAGGTTTATTGGTCAAAAGAATATACTATGGACTATCCCGTGGAGGGATGTATCTGAAGAGGTTTCACTATTAGGAGTTCCATATGGGCGCTCATTGGATGTATGATTCATTGAGTGATCCTAGCGTACTGGGTACACGGAGGGCATTAATGCCTGGGCATTTTCAATGGCCAAAAGAATATAACATGAGCTTCCCTTTGGGGAATTATCCTAAGAAGTCAAACTCGTGGAAGTTCCTTGTAGACACTTGTTGAGTGACAACTGTTCAAGTGATCCAAGCGCACTAGGTGCATTAAGTTGCCTCACCGATTATACGATTGTTATATTATTCCATGTTATTCTAACCTTTTATGCAAGCAAGTGAAGTTAAGGACAGATCAATCTCCAAGGGCCCTTAATTTTATAAGATTTATCTCTCATCCCTTTTGGGGACTTGTTTCAGGTTCTCATGGATGAGGGATTGGTCTATATCGAAGAAAGGATCATGCTTAGCCACTAAGGCTAATCCTATATTTTTTTATGTTAACTTGTCTTTTTGGGGTTTTACTTGTAAAGTTTAGGGGTATAGTTACTTGTAAAACCATTTCTTTTGGAAAAGCTTGTAGATGTTTTAATGACTTGTAATATAGGTTTGTATTGATGAATGCATGAATGATATAATTTGGGATGTAATGTGCTTAAAATCAAAAAGATGTATATATACAAGATGTGATAAGTCCATGTATGGATCTCTTGAAAAGAGTATGTAATGATTGGTTCCTTGTATGGTTGTTAATATGTCTAATTAAGTGGTAGGAGTTGTGCCCACGCTCAACGATGAGGTCTGAAGCACTAAAAAGTAGGGTTGTGCATGGGTCAGGTCGGGTCAGGTTTTTGTCCGACTCGACCCAACTTGGTTTTTATAGGTCAGGTATTTTGACCTGACCCGCTTTAATTTGATCCAAGTCAGGTCTGACTTGGATTGGATTTTGTTGAACTAGTTCAGAACCAATTTGGATCTGACCTGACTTGGTTTCTGAAGTGGGTCTGACTTGGTTTCTGAACTGGGTCAAATCTGACCTGACCCGTTTTTGACTTGGTTTTCTCACAAAATTTTGTCGAAATTTTTACATTGCAAAAGACGAAAAATTTCGTAACAAAATTATTTTTTCGTCGAAATTTTTACAAATTTTTTTTTTCTATTTAAATTTAGTTTCCGTCAACAGTTTTGACGAAAATGATTTCTTCCATCAAATGTTTTAAACGAAAAAAGAATTTTGTCAAAAAATTTGACGGAATGTTTTTCGTTCAAAATTTCGAGGGGAATGTGTTCTGACGAAAATTTTGACGGAAATTATTTCGAGGGAAATGTTTCATTTGAAACTTTCGACGAAATTTAGATTCTCTAAAGACTTTTGACAAAATATTTTTTTCGTCAAAAAAATTAACGGATTTTTTTTATAGAAATGTATTTCGTTGAAAATTTTGATGGAAATTTTTTAACAAAAAACTTGACGAAAATATTTAGTTGAAAATTTTCGATAGAAATGTGTTTCGCAAAAATTTTCGACGAAATTTTTTTTTTGTCAAAAAATTTAACAAAAATTTTTTCGTCAAAAACTTTCGCCGAAATTTGAAATCTGTAAAGAATTTTGATGAATTTTTTTGCCGTCAAAATATTTTGATGACGAAAATGTTTCCGTCGAAAACTTTTGCCAAAATTTGAAATCTGTAAAGAATTTTTATGAAATTTTTTGCCGTCAAAATTTTTTGATGACGAAAATATTTTCGTGGAAAATTTTCGCCGAAATTTGAAATCTGTAAAGAATTTTGATGAATTTTTTTGCCGTCAAAATTTTTGTCGTCAAAATTTTTTGATGACGAAAATGTTTCCGTCGAAAAATTTTGCCAAAATTTGAAATTTGTAAAGAATTTTGATAAAATATTTTGCCGTCGAAATTTTTGATGACGAGAATATTTCCGTCGAAAACTTTCGCCGAAATTTGAAATCTGTAAAGAATTTTAATGAAATTTTTTGCCGTCGAATTTTTTTGATGGAAATGTGTTTCGTCGAAATTTTCAATGGAAATTGTTTTGAGGAAAATGTTTCATTTGAAACTTTCGACGAAATTTAGATTCTCTAAAGAATTTAGACAAAATATTTTTTCTGTCAAAATTTCTTATCGAAATATTTTTTTCAAAAAATTTTACGAATTTTTTTTACAGAAATGTGTTCCGTTGAAAATTTTGATGGATATATTCTTTATCAAAAAACTTGACGAAAATATTTAGTCGAAATTTTTTGATAGAAATGTGTTTTGCTAAAAATTTTTGATAGAAATGTGTTTTGCTAAAAATTTTGACGAAATTTTTTTTTGTCAAAAAGTTTAACGAAAATGTTTCCGTCGAAAAATTTCGCCGAAATTTGAAATCTGTAAAGAATTTTGATGAAAATTTTTTTTGTCAAAGAATTTCGATGAAAATGTGTTTCGTCGAAAGTTTTTATGAGTATATTTTTTTGTGAAATACTTTGACGAAATTTAGATTTCGTAAAAAAATTTGACAAAAAAAATATTCCGTCAAATTTTTTTACCGATATGTTTTTAGTCACAAATTTTGATGAAAATATTTTTCATAAAAAATTATGACGTAATTGTTTTACGTTAAAATTTTTCTTTTAATGTAATTTTGATTTTTTTTTTCCACATAATGGGTATGGGTCAAGTTTTGGGTCAGTTGGTCAATATTAAAACGAGTCAGGTCTAAAACTGACTCAAATAAAAGTGGGTCAGTATTTAAACAAGTTCAAAAAATATAGGTATTTATGGGTCGGGTCAAGGTCGGATCAAGGGCAGGGCAAGTGAACCAGTTTTTTTGCACACCCCTACTAAAAAGAAGGCCCATGTTTCTGCATCAGAGTGTTAAGACGCACTCTTTCGACGTTTTAATGTGTAGATTGCGCTTTTTAACGTACTGGTTTTTGAGCCTAAAAAAAGTGTACATGTTAACGCTCTGCGCCAGTTTCAATTTTCCATCTTTTACCCCTCTAGGCTTGTGTGTGCCTTTTGATATGAGATTGTAAGCTTGTGTAGGACCTTCCTACCTATGTTAATCTTTATAACTAAGACATTAGACTTTATTGAGCGAGGTATGAGCTTGTTTATTAAAAAGAAAAAGTTTACTCATATTTTCACCGTTTTCATCCTTTTGTTTTTACAACTTTATACTTAAAGGCTTTGTCTTAGCACTTAATAAGTGTTTACGAAATAATTATAGATGCGTTTAATACCATAATTAAATTGATACACCGGGTGCACACAGAGTGTTACACTAGCCAAAATAATCAACAATGGTTGAAAAATAATGTGCAGTCTAAAAGAGGTCATTTTAGACACAACTTTTATATCACAATGTAAAAGATAATAGGAAAGTGACCTTTGATTATAACTTAAAGAAAAAAACGAGTCGTTGTTTATTTAGCCTTAAGACATGCACAAATAGTATTTTTTATGTCTCAACATTCAAGCTAAGAAGAAAAATGAAGAAAACATAAACTTTTGCTTGGGGCATGACCAATTATTTAATGCCATAAATCCATTAATTTCATACTACAAATAGCGTAGGCTCATGCGACTAAATATTAGTACACATATACTGCATCACACATGTCACCCAGTATAATCTGCATCCTTGATACTCGATCCTACAAAATACATTGTTTATCAGTTATTACAATCTGCCATTTGTTGGACTACAAAAGTTGGGCTACGAAAATAAGATTGCAACACAGATAAGACACGTATAAAAGATTCACTTTGATACCATGATAAAATATTTGTACTCAATGATGATTTGTGTTATTCCATAAGGTTTTTTTTATATATAGAAGTGATGTACATCAAATCATAAATGAGAATTTACATGAAAATTATCCTATCTAAAGTAACAAACATTATATGTGGAAACAAACTACTCAAACAAAGTAGATTTATATTATAACATTCAAATATAACTAGCTAGATAAAAATGTGATTATAGATTATCATAGATTCCTCCTAATAATTTGACAACCTACAAAGTTCTAGTGATGCCCATATATAACCTTAAGTATGTAGAAATGAGTAGTGATGGGTTGGTGGACGACTTTTTTAGACAAAACCACTACTTTTGCTTCCAATATGGTTGACTCATTCAAGTTAGGAGAAGAAGATGAACTGGATAATAGCTATGATTGAAGAGGATAAATTTCCACATAAAAACACCACACAACATACACAAATATATAATTACTCTATAGCATGTGACTCACAAAGCCTTGTGACTATTCATCACATGTTGATATTTTTAATTTTTGTGTGTTGTTTGATCTGACATAAATAAAGTGTAAATACCTCCACAAAAGTAAACACTTCTCCAATGCGCCACCTACTGAAAGGTACGCCCCATGACCACAAGTAACATGTCACACGATCCACCGTAATATCCCCTACCTACCTACCTATAATTGGGCTTCATTCTTAAGTACGTGCCTTCCTCGACCCAAATTCCTCCTTACTCATCCAATGACTTTAGCGTCGGAGTCCTTTCATGTGCACATTATCCTTTGCCTATTGTTGCACTCACGACAAGTATACCGATCACAAAAGTAATAAAGTAGTAAATAAGATATGGTTCCCATGAGGATTAGGGACTCCAAGCACTATTCCACTTAAATTGGGCAATTCAAATATGGTTTGTAAAGAGTAATATTTAAATAAATAGAAAACCAATTAAAAAATAACAAGAAAACAAAAGCTATGAGTAATCAATTGTAAAGACAAAATTTAGGTAATTAAAAGTGGATTTAAAAATCAATAATAAAGAACACAACTAGGTATACTTCACCTCCGATCACCCTTAAATGATTCAATTCAATTCAATAACTTACCATCCTAATTGTTTCAAATAATTAATCATCTAAGAGTCAATAGGTTAAATCATAATGTCATAGTTCTTTAACCCTTTAACCTAATTAAAATCCTAATATCTTAGAAACCCTTTGAGATTAAGTCTTAAACTCGATGAATTACATAAGTTTGCAATTCCTACAAGCCTATATCTAGATCATGTAGGAACTGGTGTTCTATCCCTATCTAGGCCAAAATCCCAACACGTCTATTGTGAACCCTAACCCTTTTTATCCCTACATGATTGATTAAGTTATACAATATTTTAACAATAATTCGCGGTGAACACAAACAACTTGAGACAGTTTGTTAATGAAAAAATTTAAACCAAAATAAGGATTCACGTTGGATCCATATCCCTAACTACAATAGAAGAATTAGCCAGACATATCTGGCTTAAAAAAAATAAAAGATGAAAAGAAAACTATATGAAGCAATGGTAGAGAGAAGAAGGTTGATCTCCACAATTGCCTTAATCACTGTCAATATTTTTTCTATCTGAAAATTCCAATTCTTCTCTCGTTCCCAATTCTGCAACCGTTCCCAAAAGTATCTTCAGGTTTATCAATTATTCCCGTTTCTATGTCAGGGGAAGAATACCATAAAATCTTCAAAGAATTAGCATTAGATCTTCTAAATTCCATCATTAGATACAATTGAAAATTCCACTTACAAAGTCAAGTGCAGCTGGCGCTAATAGTACGAATTTGGCTCTATTAGCGCCAGAAATAAAGGCTTAATTACAAACCGATTTAGCGCCATTTTCGTGCTAGTGGCGCAGAGGTCTT